AATTATGATATAATATAGAGATAAACTCGAAACCATCTTGCGGTAATGCTATAATTAGGCCTATATATACATTTTGAACGTTAAAGTATGTATTAATGCTTTTAAATTGCTTGTTACTGAATGAAACACGGAATGACTAATTGTTATTCCAATGAAACTTATAATTATAGTAGAAGAAGAACCTGACAAAGATTATAAAAATACAACCTCCACCAGGTCTCGAACCCGGGAACTTTCGCTAAGCGTCATACCACTAGACCACGAAGGGTTTGTGGTGAATTCAAATGCCAGTAGTGATTTATCAAGCCAATTTTAATTCAAACTTACATTTCCAAGTTTACGATGTTGGGTGCAACACAACCAACACCTATAGCCTACGCCTGTTGAAATTGAAACATACGGTATTGAGTTCTCCCATCCTGTGATTGGTTGTGGCACAGGGCGTAGCCTGAAGTAGGCGCGTGAAGTGTATACAATGAAGTTAAACAATTGACCAATCAGAGAGAAGTAGAATACCCGCATGTCCCAGAAAACACTCAATGGAGTGGGCTTAGCTGAAACTCTAATTTTTTTTTCCAAAATAAAAAACCTTTTTTGAACTTTATGGCTAGACAGGCCTTCACATTGATTTCACTGTTCTTTTTCGACAGGGCTCACCACCATGCAGTCAGATCTGTTCATCTGTACGACTCTCCTCTGGGTAAGCTGTAATATAAATTCCCGTTTCGTTTCTATTTCATTCACAATATTTAAGGTTCCGTTTTTAATTCTAAGCAATAGGGAGTTTTCGACATCGCAGCTTGTGACGTAAGAAGCCATAGTTATGTTAGCTAAGCTTTCCTGTCCTTCGGGTTAACGTCCTGAATACAATGTAATAAGTTATATGCATAATTACACATGTGTATTTAAAATTAAGGGCGGAGTCAAGCCTGTCAATTCAATTTTGAATTAGGTCTACAGTAACGTTGCGATTTTTTACACCATTATTATTTTATTACCATTATTATATTTATTACCACGAGATACACGAACTATTGAAACTCAACCCAGTGAGATGAGCGAATAATAGCAACATGAGAGACATAGCCCGACAGAAAATAAATCATTTCGATTTTCACATGACGGAAACTTGCCAGTTCTTTGAATTTCAATAGTGACTGACTATAATACAGTAGAACCTCTATTTCGGGACCATAAAATTATCCCTAATAAAGTGGATACCCTGAAAATTGGTTGGCAGTTCGTAGATATACTTTCCCTCGTTTCTTGTTGGAAAAAGTGTCCCTTTAATAGGGTATCCCCTTAAGGAGGGGTTCTCTGTAAATTTAAAATAAGCTGTAATGTATTAATATTATCAGCCTATACCTAAGCCGTCAATATGTGCTTGCTGTGTTACGGTCAACCATGTGCGTTTGCGTTGCGTCGGACAAAAGCACATTGAGCGCCACAATGGCACGAGAATTTTCTCAGTTGCAAAAACTCTGGTTTATATTTAATAAATTAACTAATAATTTCAAATGACGCCCCTGACGGTGCTACTATATCTATAACCATGGACCTATTAATAAGATTAATAGGTCCATGCTAGCCTATAACCTTACGGCTTTCTTCATAGCTGCTGACGCCTACTAATGCCTTTATAATTATCTATATCATTTGTTTCAGATGAGTGGATGGACAAGCCATACTTTGTTGAGAGTCAACAAGAAAGACTATACTCTAGTGCTGATTCAACCAGCTCATCCAGTTCAGGCGATGTCCCGTCAGTTGATTCCGATAAACACCAACACATCTCATGTGATCCATCCAAAGGTACTTATGAAAATCATCGTATATACGCATCAATATGCCGAGAACTCCCGGAAAACATTTACAAATTCCCGTATGAAAATCAGGACGCGTTCAAGGATTACTATAATCTTGGAACCACCAACTTTGAAAATATGGACGCCAATATCGTCATGAAGACAATGTACAATTCTCTCCAGATTCGACCAGATCTAGAAATTCAAACACGTGTTAATGGAAATAACCGACAATCAATTAGGGATATATTCTACGACAAACTATCGAGGAGTTCAACACGGTCATTGCTGTCAATGCCAAATAGGTACAATTCTAGAACGTCCGATGGTCACGAAGGATTTGAACTATCTTCTACTTCAAGTGACGGTAGAACAGATTACCACCATCTGGATCGCAGATGTACAACTATTGCCATTGGAAATAGAAGTCGGGGTGAGCATGATTATTCAAAACTAACGAACGTGACTGCAACATAATATAACTCTGATAAACTTTAGTTGCAGTTTGAGGAAATTGACGCACAACAGGCCCGTAACCAGTTTTGGTAATATGGAAGATCGTTTTCAATCTGAGTGAAACTTTTGGGGTCCAGGTGTACTCTCGAAAAATGTTGAGAATCATGACCGCCACCTTTTATTTCAAATGCTATTCTGGTGTGTTTGAGCTGCTTTCAAAGGAGTTACCATTTCCGTGAAAAAAACATTGAATCAATTTGATATGTGCAAACGTTGACGAATCGGCAGTAGGCTATACTATGCAATATGTTTGTAGACAAAATATGGTGCTCTTCAGATCACAAATATACTGTACATGACAGTTTTCCATCGTTAACGACAAAGTAGGCCTACGACAAATCACAGATAGGTTTTTTGGTAGAATTTATTCAACCGCATGCATCCATTAACACATAAGCATACAAAGGCGATGACTTTTGAATTGTAAAAATAAATATTAAAGCGACTGTCTTGATCAATGTTTATTGATAATCTGTCGACATTGCGTCGCGTAATCAAACACTCACCACACAAAGTGGAGCTGAATTTGTCGGTCGATTTCTGCCAATGCAATGTGTGCGTCTTAGACCTACTGTCATCCTGTAGTTTCAGTGCGGATTCAAGGGGTGGGGGAAGGATAGCCAGCCCGGGCCCCCTAAATTGTTCAACATTTGGAGAGAAAAATGGAGATAAAGAAAATTATATTCAAATTTTTAGTCTGAGAGTGCGATTTCCAGCCATCTAGAGGTGCCATTTTCACAAATTTTCTTACCTCGGCCGCCCAAACCATGGTGGGAGGGTGAGGTGGTATACATCCTCCATCTGTGAAAGTACCTCCCCGGGCCCCCTCTATTTTGAATGAATCCGTCACTTAGTTTGGCAAGTTTTTGCTGTCTTGTGGAAAAGAGACTAAAACCCTGACACTGACTACTTTTATTAACCGATGACAATTGAGTTACTATTGCATGTGGTATTCAATGTGAATGGATACAGAAAAACTCATATATAAATGCTGTATACTTTAAAAGTTGGGTTTAGGCTTAAATAATCAGTCATATGAACACTTTTGGTGAGCCTGCAAAACTTCGTAATCGCACCAGCCCATGTATAACTCTAGAATTCATCGAGACCGCGGTCGGTGACCGTTAAAATACAAAGGATTATGACGTAAGCTCTCGGGACTGCTTTTTTTTAAAGATATAAATGTTCGAATGTAAATCAACACCTCTACTGGGAAAGCACGTTTTGGGTGTTGCCTTCACATTAAGTTTTCATAAGTCATACTAAATGTGAAAGTAATGTTAGCGAAACAGAGGCCTCTAATGTGCTAAATACTAAATACTTGTAAATATTTTTTGAAACAAACCATGAATTGAATTATAGGCCTAATGAGTGAAATGCTTTAAAATGAATGGAAAGAGATATCTTTTATTCTTAACACAGTCATCATTATCACTCAGTGATTCCTTGTAGGCCTAGTTGTGAACATTTGCAGCATGGCGCGTGAGTTCAAAAAATCGAAATTAAGCCTACACCAGGTTCTGTTTTTATACCTTTTCTATAGGGCCACGGAATTAACTAAGGCAGTCGGAATATTACCGCATGACAAAAATGAGCAATAGACCTAAACCCACGCCGCGGCGATATTACACGGTTGTGGTATACCCCACACCGTACCCATGCTATAAGGAACGGGGTCATTTCCGTAGACTTAGGGAAAGGTGGAACATGTATTGGCCTCATTCCCAAATCAGCAACGTTTACTAAATCAGCTCTAAAAAGATACAGACACTGGCATGCCTGCACATCTGGAAAGTGGCCTAATTCAACCTACTGTTGTATTTGTGAATGACCTATAGGTAAGCTCGGTAAATGTACATATGTATTTATAGGAAAGGAATACACAGTGTGATTCCGTTTAGGCAGTGACAGAACCATAATTTATCGGACAGTAATCGCGAAGCCAAACCTTTCATAAAATAGATATCGTATTTCAAAATTTCTAATTTTACAGGATCATGAAAGTTCCTATACAAATGAAAACCAGTATTAAATTAATTGACATATTATTCGCAATGAAAATGAAATCTTAGAGCTTATGATATAAGCATTTGTAAATCCGCCAAATTGTTAAAAAAAATACCGTTCGTTTGATAGTGATCCGACAAAAATAAGCAATGAAAGTACTGGATTGATGATTTACGAGTTGTTTAAGTGCGAGCACACATATTTCATTTTGATATTTTAAGTGTTTGATGAATTTATCCTTTTAATTGGTGTAGATGATTTTGATATCCTTCGTTAAATCCGTGTGTTTAGAAGAACAAATATTTATATTTCTTTTTAGCATACTTTTAAATTAGTTTCTTTGGTGTTCTATTTTAATTTTGTATATTTGTGTACATACTAATTTTATCAATTAAGCCTGTTTCATGGATTAATAAATTGAATTGAATTACAAAAATGTGTGGGTGGTCAGTTAACTGTTATGTGCGATATACTAACTCGGACATTATGTGGGCATAACGGTGTCGATTGATGATTAGGCCTATAGCGAAAACCGATGTGAATATTCAGAAATGATAACCGACTAACTGGGTGATTAATTGATTGACTGACTGACTGACTAACTGACTGATTGAGTGAGTTATTGGAAAGTCTTCAGTAGGCTACTGTACTATTCGATGGAAAAACTTGAAATGATCCTTTTATAATTTTCTCTGGAAATTGATAAGTAGGAGTTTGGAACCGATCAGACTTACCAGATTTTACTACAACAGCGTCGACGACAATAACATGAACAAATATCATAAATTTCCTGATCAGTGAAATATTAATTAGGCAAATGAGCAATTAGCATATTCTTACACATACCAAATACTATAGACAAAAAAATAACACTACCCTGTTTTCTAGGCGACCGAAAATAAATAACTTCTGAGGCGTTTTGGGCGATCAATAATTTGATTTTTTTTTCTTTCGTTCGCACCCCCCCCCCCTTTTTTTTACTTTCCAAAAGCGGAACAGGAGCCGACCCAGCCTCCCTCTAAATCTGCCCCTTATAAAGCACCCATAGGAAGATACCATACTGACCTACATAATTTTTCAGCAGAACTTGACTCAAACACAATTTAAAATAAACACCAACTTGATTGTTTGGTAAAAATTACATATATTTACGAATTTCGATGGTGCCACGCTTTCTAACAAATTAACAGCCATAATATCCACAGAAAAGTTGCTATAAACACAAAATTTTAAATTATATTTATGTATAAATTAGTAATCAATTACTACTTAATATAATAAATTATAAATACAATCAAATTAGAATTGTTATAAATTATATATTCTAACAATGATAACGTTAGCTTCTACTATAACACCTTTTTGTTCACAGTGTTCCTCTAGTGCCCTCTGTTAGCCATGATTAAAAAAAACAAACTTGTATTGCCTGGTATTTGTACAAACTTGGAATGATATATACATAAACAACTATCTAAGCAAATAACACATAATTAATGAGATCGTCATAATCTATCAGTTTGAATTTGGAAATATATTTTCAAAATTCACATACATTGCACTCATTCAAATTTAGATTTCAATGCTTATAGTTTGTTGGAATAGACCTTTCCAAAGTGCCGATCACAACAGTGCCAGGAGGAATACGCGCGTATCTAATAAAAAAAAATTATATTGCCCCACAAACTCACGTGTGTTTATGCACACATTAAACACTATTTGTGGGACCTTATCAAAAGTTTATTCTCTCTAAAGCCGGTTACTCACTGCGTGCGACGGCAACGCAATGAAGAACGCACGCAAAGACGCGGACCCAACGGATCGTCTTTTTAATGAGGATCCGTTCAGATTGCCACTGGCAATCAGCAGACGGCGTTGCATTGTCTATCGCTCGCCGGAAGCAAATGTGGATTCGTCGTGCGACGGTCGTATGACCGTCGCACGACGCAGTGAGCGTCCGGCTTTTACAGTGCTGAAAATTAAACAGATATTAGTATAAGCACACCATACATTATGCTAATATACAAAAACAATATGCATTCAAACTAATTAACAAAACAATACGTGAAGAGGATTATTAATAACGTGTAGAAGCCTTGGTGGGCAGAATTTGCTATATAAAACCACAATATTATTTATTTATTTTATTTATCTGTTTTTTATACAGGGTGGACTCTTCAGTCAAACACAGATAAAATGGAGAAAATAAAACAAGTCCTAACAATTTATTAGTTCATACATCAAAATTGTAATAATGGAAGCTGTTGTTTCCATCATTATGTTAGAAAACTATGTAGAGAAATACTATGACGTGAACAGTTTCAAAACTCCGCTAAATACGAAGGTGCGTTTGGAAGCTGTTGATATACGTTGCATTAATGTCTACTATACTACCCATGGATATTATATAAGAAATATATATTACATTTATCAAAGATTTTGTTTGAGATAAGAATTAAGAGTGAAAAATACTATATAGTTTTTAAATACAAATATAATTGTCATTTGTTCTATTAACTCTTCGTTTTCATCTTTCTTTTTGATTACAGTACCAACAAGCCTGGTATCTCATCCAAATAAGAGGCTATAAAAATATCAACTTTTTTGTTTCTAATCCTTAAATATAATTTATACTGTAATTATTTTTTTAATTAAATAAATATACTGTATATTATATATCAAATTATGGCAAATCACTTCAAAATGTTAGTTTCAAAAGAAAAATAAGTTTACACTTCAACATCACAAAAATGTGGTTCTATATACAATTTTTGTCAAAATATGTAATTTAAGTAAAATTTCTCTTTCCATAATTATGATTGATTATGTTAAAATAGTGCAGTATTTTTAAATTACTGTATATGAAAACTGATCTATGAATTCAATACTAGAGACCTTTCAAACCATTGTTAAATGGATCATGCATCTATCCAATCCAATATGTAACAATAACAATGTACTGTACTGCAGAAATATGTGACAAGATGGTAAGGCACCCACCTAATGGTCAAGAGTTGGGGTTCAAATCTTGTACACTGTTCATGGGCAAGGAAATATGTTTGTCTTTTTCTACCCAGGGGTATAAATGTTTACCTGGCATAATCAGTACTTTGGAATGAAAGTGAGTATTGCAAAAATTAGCTGCATAATTAGGAATTGGAGTTTGCACATTGTATATTACTGATTCCATATTCAATAACAAGAAAAACAAAAAAATGTAATAATATCAAGGAGATATAAAGATTAAGATTATTTATTTTTTATACCTCTCTGATAAAAGCCCAGCATAACCACTACTGGCTTATTCTGGCTAACACTATATTTAAACTGGTATATTTTTTTGATTAATTTACAAAACAATATTTTAATACAGGAAGTTAAGAACAGAAACAATATCCCCCACTTACGGTAATAAGCAATCTAAACAAAATAATATTAATTGGGAAAAAAAATAGGTATCTATAATTAAAGTTTCTCTTTTAAATACAACTGTATATTTATATTTTTCTAGGATATAATTTTTCATTCTATGAATAATAATTTGCATATGTTGTTTAACACCTTAATAAAATTGCAATATTTTCAGGTCGATACAGGAATTTCGCACAGGTAGATGGGCACAGGTATGAGTCCACAGGGATGGGCAACAAGCAGGGGGATACAGGGACAAGTCCACCGGGAGAGAAGGTGTCAGAAGGACATTGCTACAAGGGTGGGTAAATGCAACTTACTGAAGTGTTGTAAATTAACTCTAGATCTCAAAATGTGCATATGTGTTGCATAATAATTAACAAATCTATGATGATATTACAAATACATTTAAAAAAAGTTTCAAAAAAAATAAAATATGTCTACTATCATGGAAATTGTATTTCATGATTATAAAAATTATTTTAATCATATCAATCCACTCTTTTTACTCCCAATTACGTGAAAATTTCAAAAACTTGTGGAATAAAATCATTTTTATAAAAATAACCCTGTTTTCAGGCTAAAAATAATCAAAGTCATCTATAATAATCCAACATAATATAAATTCTTCTCTAAAAAATATCTAAAGTTAACAGGTTTTGTAAAAAATAATAACACAATTACAATATCAAGATAATTAAATGTGTCATGTTAATTTTGACGTTGTTATATCGTCACCAGTTACTTCCATCACCTTCTGGTAGTTGTACAGTAATAACTCTTCTTGTATCGATGTCACCATTAACATGTTAAGGAATAAGCCAAAAATCTGAAATTAGAAAAAGAAACACCACACAATTGATATTAAAATCTTAAATGAAGAATTAAAACTGGATGTACCTTATTCAATTAATTGTTATTATATACTGATTCATTTAAATAAACGCCCTGGGGGGTTTATTGTTAAGAAGGGTTTTTGAAGGGGCGTTTATTCGAGGGAGGCGTTTATTCGAGGGAGGCGTTTATACTGTATATTTAGGTGTAAAATGGACATGTGTATACTCAAGTAAAGGCCCTTATTTTTACTGTAAATGTTAACTACAACACATTAATATTGTGAAAATGTGTTATTGCGTGCGATTCCAACCAGGATCGAAAATATGTAATTCTACTGGAATAGAACAGTAGTAGAATGTGTTGAGAATGCTGCTTCCATTAGATCCGTTTACATTAATTTATATATTTTTTTGGGGGGGGGGAGGGGAGGGGACGTTTATTTCAGGAAAAAATAAATGCCCTGGGGCGTATATTCTAGGGAAGAGTTTACTCCAAATGACACTGTCGTTTATTCAAAGTAAGGTGTTTATTCAAATAAATATGGTATTTACATACTTTGGTAACAATTTTAAAGTAAAGAGACATGACAGTGTGACATTTACTTGAAATAATAAAATTTAAACTAGATCATTTCCATAGAAACAACTAACTACATTATTGCAATACCATGGTTATATATAAAATGAATTACTGTACCTTCAATTGAGCAGAAAATTATGGCTAAAATGTGTCCCAAAAATGTGTTACTTTTTTTGAAGCAGAAAATTTAAAACAATCCACATATATGGTAAAAAAATATACATAATTCTATTCTATGTTGTTATGATGTTTTAATGCTTGTGAGAAAAATATGCATTAAAAATATATAAATAAAATATATGAAAGTGTACAACAAACCACTCACATAAATCCCATACTTGTGTGAATTAATTGTAATTAAAATTAGTACGTTAATCAAGTTTTTATTACTTATAATATAATTGTATTTTGTCCAATCATATACCTGTCCAGTACACAGTGTGTTAGTACAGATTTGAGTAGAACCTGGATATTATTAAATTCAGACTTTCATTTATTTTCGAACACTAACATGGGAAATAGACATAATTTTCATAGGTATGCATTTCTTAAAAGATAAGCTAATATATTAAATGAAACTCACCAGCTACATTTCTTCTGCTAGCTTCAGCAGCATTGATTATGCAACTGAAGTCTTGTTGCTGTTGTAACGTCATTATTCATACTTCAGTAACTTGGCTTATAAATTCCTAAGCATGAATAATAACGTTACAACAAAAGGACGTCACTTGCATGATCAAGGCTACTGAAACTAGTAGCCAAAAAGAACCTGGTAAGTTTAGATTAATATATTGGCTTATCTTTAGAAAAATATATGCATGTCTAAGGTATGTATATTTATATATTGTGTATATTTATTGAAGCCAGATGAAATACTTTGAGAAAAGATTGTTATTATTATTAACAAGTATTGCATATCTAGAGATTACTATGTATTTGAAGTTTATATGAAACATCTTTCCTAGTTTTCAACTACACATTATATAAATGTTTTCAAGTGTGGTACACTTAAAAATTTACCATCACTTCAAAAAATGCTATTAAAAATTCAATTCACATCAATTAAGTTATCAATTACTAAACAGAAAGACCAAAGTGATTCAATCTTCTCTAAGTTACAGTCTTTATAAAAACTCTAAAATTGATTACTAGCCAATTCACAAAGTGTACTGGAAGTTAAAATGTTATTACAGTTGTTTATTCACAATGAAAACCTTCAGATAATACTGATTATTTCTATATAGTAATTTTGGGTGATAAATAGTAAATGAGATGTATTGAAATTAATACCTCATACAAATAAGTGTAAAAAGTAACATTAGTAGAATAAATTCAAAATGCAAATGTACTAGAAGTTAACATTATTGTTCATTTGCAGTGCAAACCTTCAGAAGATACATTTTCTATATACTCATTCTAAGCTGGAATATAGTAAATATGTTTTAAAATTAGAATCTCATAAAAAAGAATTAAAACTGTATAATAAAAATAACATTAGTATAAATTGGCAAGGTCTACATTAAAGGAAATAATATGTGAAGAGGATGATGGATATGCATACCATGCTAATAAGTGTCAAATTAATTACTCTAAAATGTTGATAATGTTGTTCTATATTTCATAGAACAATGTTCATTTCATTTGCTTTACATACAATTACTAACAGTAGTTAAAGTATCTTCCTTTTAAGGGCTATGGTTAGACCCTGTGATGTTGACATGAATGACTTTGAAATGAAATTGATCTGTACTGAATTAAATACTTGTTAAAAATAATCGGCAGGGAAATATAGAGGATGCGGGCTGGAATATCTCCAGGGAATTAAGGAAAGTTGCACTCTGTATATGATTAATTCTGTGTTCAAGAAATATTTCTTCTCAAATGTGTGCTAGGTAAACCATATACTTTAAAAAAAACACAAATATCAATCATCCACTCATCGGCCAGTGTAGTATCTTTGGATAATTAATACTTAAGTTGTCTAGCCTGTGCTAATTGTAGAAACAAAAGTTTAAATACTTTATGAATGGCTAATTTTAGAGGCTCATGAAAGCATCTAGTCGTCTGTCGTAGATTAGCGGATTAATCAATTTTAAGGGTATATTTTAAGGTTTTCAACATGGTAATTTTAAATTTTGCCCAAAAGGAAATTAATTGTACTTTTTCATAAATCCTCTGGAAGTTCATTGACTTCTAATTTAATTTCAGCTGGCCAAAAATAAATGGATTTATTTTTGGCCAGCTGCAAATCCTATAAGAAACATATTAAAAAATAAACTTTAGTATTTAAATCTAAGAAATGGCACTGAGAGATTTAATTTTGTTATTTCAAAGCAACATATTTTTTTGTCCACTCATTAAAAAATATATGAAAATACCAAATCCTGGATAAATTTATCATGACAAAATAAATTACAATGACCCAAATAACAACTTACCAAAAGAAGGTTTTGAAGTTCATATTGGGGGCACTGTGTGAAAATTTAGCAGTTTAATCATGGCGGTATAAAATACCTCCAATGTTTTAACAGATATATACGACACACAAATGGTAAATATTTTAAGAAAGAGATACAGTAGATACAAAGTGGACATTAGCATGGTCAATGTATACATGTATGTACACACCTAGTATATACGTTATACTGTAGAAACATAACAGTGACATGCTTATTAAAAAAAATCTATTTTTATAACTATATGGAAATATAGTAAAATAACACATTCTATTTAAAACATAATTTTTTTCTCTGACAACTATTATCATAGAATGTATATTAGAGTGTGTGTGTGTGATATGGCTAATAATATGAAGATGTCATTCATTTTTATTAAATACAAACAATAACAGATTTCTGTTACTGTAACATTGTTTTCATGGCTCTGAAGACACAGAGACCTCCTCCACAGGAAATCTGAAAATCACCTAAAAATGTCCACACCGCTATTCCTGGTTTTAAAATGTAATGACAGTTAATAACTGGTTAAAATAATCTAAGTTAAAGATCAATTTGTTAGAATTTAATTTTTATAAAGTAAATTAAAAGCCAAAAAAGAATTGAAGTGAATTAAAAGCCAAAAAGGAATTGAAGTGTATGATATTGTTTTCACTAGAGCTGAGATTTGCTAGTCCCTCTGTCCTTTACCAACTACGCAATTCTAATTTTGTCTGCTGTATTCTGTTTATTAACAATATATCTATAATGACAAGTGAATAGAAATGCAAAATAAACCATTAATGGATGTAAATAGTAAATGAGAAATAATAAAAAAGAATTAGTTGATGAGTTTAGATAAAAAAGAAGTATTATTCAGCTGTTGAAGAAAGTTATTAATGTCAGTCATTCCAAAATGCATAGAAAAATCTTGAAGGGTTCTCCTATAGAGTGCAATACAAAGTAATGTTATTAGTGCGTGCTAGATTTTTGCACAGTAAGAACAGCAATAGGACCCAGCATCAGTCAATGTTTACCGCAGTACATTTTGAGGGGAGGGAAGGGAGAGAGTTTGGGAAGGGGCTGCACATTACAATGAACTATACTACATCTACACTCAGATTGCCTTAATAAGTATATTGCAAACAGCATTGCGATTATAAATAAGTTAGCAATGTTTCATTAGCTGCTGAATGTGTGAATTCCGAATTCAAATCTAGAATATAAAAGGGGTGGGGCACCAGTGCCTATGTTATTATGGAAAAAAGTACCTGGTGCAAATGAGAGAAGTGGCCATGTCCTCATACCATTAGATTTTGTTTGCCAGACACAACATACTATGTTTAATCACACTTTGTTCAAAAGTTTATGCATATCTGATTAAACAAATTGTGTATATATGGACAGATAATAATCATACAAAGTTTAAACCGGATTAACTGTTTTTGAGTCTGACAGTGATAGATAACATATCACAGCCTATGCATGTCTCATAAGAATATAGGGATGCATTCAGGAATGAAATGATTCAAAATGCACTGCGGTAATGTTTGGGTACACTTGGGTACCTATGTGTAGTGTGCTGCGTGCAAGTTGCACGTGCGCTGCACGTGAGGTGTTGCAGGCATTTTACCATGAACTTACGCACATGAGAAAGAAATGAGTGATTCTGAATTTTATTTGTCTGTTGAATCTGCGTCGTCTGCCGCAACATACGCATTCTCATTCTCCTCTTTTATTTGTTGGATGAACCCAAAGGTCATCCAGATTCCGGCAATCTGTGGAGATTGAAGGTTAAAGGTCGAAGTGCACTGACATAATGTGATGGTGAAGGATGACTGAATTCAAGAGATTGCAGAATGAGATTCGCTGGCGGTATTGAGAGGTTGATAGAGACATGTTGGTTGCAGTAAATAGCCAATTTATTGTTCAATTTATTGGCATGTATGGGTAACAGCCTAAAAACGTAATCCTGTAAATTCTGTGACTGGAAATTTCAAAAACAGGTAGTCACTTCTCTTTGAAGAATTGTACATAAAATTGGTAAATTGTGGGACAGTAGAAAAAATAAGAAAGTAATATAATATGGCCATCATATGAATAAGATTTTCTTATGTATCATATTGTGTGTATACTATCTCCAATTGGTATTTATTTAGAAAAATCGAAACTGCATAAATGATCTGCAGCCACTACTTGAGTTCTAACACAGTAAAAACATTACATTAAAAGTTATATAAGATACTATTTCACCAATGACCAGTTTAACCACCACCAAGAAGAATTTTGAATGGTTGAGGTTAGTTCGTAGGTTTGTGCATACAAACAGCATCATGTGATTGAGAGTTTTAAGTGACTTTGGAACAAAATCTGCATTGTGCATACTTTCATTGTTGTTTTTTTTTTTTAAGCTTTGGTGTTGAAAGTGTTATGAGCACTGAATGGTAGACACCAGTGACTATAGAAGTCTCCACTATTATCATATTTATTATACAGATTCTCCTTGACAGATCTTCATACTAAAAGAAATCTTTGTGACTTATGGATATTTAAAATACTGGCAACACCGCAGTAACTCAATAAAAGCATCACTTGAGAATCAGGCCTGTAACCAGGAGGATTCCTATGAATGTTTTTTTTTTTTTTTTTTGGGGGGGAGAGGAGAAGTAAGCGGCCTTGTGGGGTTCAGTAATCTGGGTGGAGGGTGGGGGTTACGTGGTCTTGTAGGTTTCAAGGTAAAATACCCTTTGGAGGTCAGGAAGCAAAGGCCTTTCGAGCTGAAGAATTCTGTCATGTAAATGATGAATATGATTAACTTTTTGATGCCTCAATGTGAGACAGGTTCTGTTTCATCAGATGGAGATTCACTCAAACAGAGAGGTTCATCGAAAAGGGGTTTGGCCTAATCATAGAAATAACCATGGCTACAGGCCTGAGAATAAATACAATATTTCATAACATGGGATCTCATTCAGGGAGACAAATTAAATTTATATCCTCTACTATCAAGGATTACATTCACAAGGTCACATGCAAAAAAATAACCTTAGTATAACTTATCAGCAAATTCCTTCATTCACAAATTTTCAGCCAAAATGCGATTGAGTTGAGCATACCTGTGGTAGAGCAAAGCCTAGAATAATTCCAGCAATAAGTGCGAGGTTGTCCTCCGCCCACGCGGAGAAAGCATCTACACAACCTCTGATGTATATCTTGCCTTGTAATTGCAGACGATTAGTAATACCTTTACGAACTTCATCTCCACACTGTGTGTTTGGAATCATCTCATCCTACAAATAGAATACAAAAATACGTAAAATATTACAATATTATTATTAAATAATATAGACAAATAAATTAATGCTGCAGTTGGAAGGGATTGAAGCTCACGGTAGGCTTATTGGCTCAAAATTTTCAATGGTAATAATTTACTATGTCCCTCGGTAAAACAATTTACACTAACTAACTCGTCCCTTGGATTTGACATTAGCTTTTGGTATATTAATGTCTCTGTAAACAAAAAAGTAATCTAAAATAAATATATATAATATAATCAGACTGTATAAAAAAAAACAATCATGAATTTACTATTGTATTGTCTATGCAATAGTTGCATTCATTAATTGCATTATTTAACTGAGCAAATAACCAATTAATTAGGAAAAAATTAAGTGGTTGATGTATACTATACCTTAGTGGAGACACAACAGGTGTATGGCACGCCACAGGAACTGGCTACACCCGTGTTGCACATAAAATAAATGTTATTCTCCCAGTCATCATAGTCATGACCTCCACAGCACTCAAACTAAAGGACATTAGCAATACAATAATCAATCAATCAATCAATTTCTTTTTACAACATATACAGTACACAATACAAAAAAAAAGAAGACCATTCATAAACAGAATTGATTTGATGAGAAGTAAAATATATTATATCATTGATACACAGAAGACATACAAAATCTAAGAAAACACTGATAGACCTTTCTGACAGGCTCCATTCCTTGGATAATTTTGCTAAGGATAGGACAGGTGGGAGTATTTTTCCGAAGACTTGTTTACAGTCGAGTCTTTCTGATGGTGAATTGGGAAGTACACCAGGAGACCCTTCTATTGTAGAAGTGGTTGGCGCATCGGTTGTGGCTTGGACTCCCAACCTTGAGGTCGGGGGTTCAAAAACTCTCCCTGTGCGCGTCGCTTGTGCAAGGCACTTTATCTACGGTTGTCTCTCTCCACCCAGGAGTACAAGTGGGTACCTGGTAGGTTCGAACACAGCCTGCGCTGAATACAGCTGCAACATTATGGAATTCCCCCATGGGGCTTGAGTGTGTGTTCCATATGTGCTTGATCCAGTAATCCGGGAGTAATAATGTAAGCGCATAGAGGTCCCTACAATATGCGCTATATAAGTCGACAATTATTATTATTATTATTCCAAGAGTGTACAGTACTGCATTTTTTAACTTGCACATGGGCAGTAACGCAGCATCTGACCAATGGCTTAGACGTTTCACCCTAAAGACGGCTATCACAACTTTTGCATTTCAGCTCAGCTGAAATACAAGGAGAGCAAAAATGAGAAATGAACCGAGGACTTTTGCATTTCAGCTCAGCTGAAATACAAGGAGAGCAGAATTGAGAAATGAACCGGGGACCAAGAGATCTCCACAGTTCAGCGCATGCACAGTGGCTACCACCAGTTTAGCCAACTGGACTAAGCTGCTCTCATTAAAGATACAGAATGTGCAAATAATAACTTACATTTTGCTGCATGGCATCAACTGCAAATTGTATATCTGGATCATTGTAGTAATTTCTGATGGAATGTTGAAGGCCATTCTTTACAAGATTCTCAGTCTGCGAACATTTAAAATAAAACAACATATTATATGAGATTTTTATTATTTCCATCATAACATACCGTAATTGCAATAGCAATAACAATACCACAATCACAACTAATAAGAAACAATAACTACAATTAGCAATATAACAACTATATATTAACAACATAAAAACAACTATATCCCAAAATAATAGTACAAAAGTTCATTCATCCAACACCATAACAAAAATATAACAACAATTTAACATTATAACAAACATTAAAACTAATGGTCCTGACAATATATTATTTGTATAAACTCAGTCATATTTAAAAGTAGACTGTACTGACAATAAGCTTGTGGTTAAAAAACAGTTTGTTACAGTAGTCTTTGTATTGTTCACCCTGTCTTTGTTACTGCTGTAGTATAATAACAGCCAATGTACTTAACATACCTGACCCTTGAAAGCTAATGCTAAAATAGCACCAATCAACTGTAAAGTGAACACAACAGCCAGTGTGATACCAAACTGCAATGAAAACAGACACAAAGTGATGTCAGTATATATTCTATATTCTATTTGAGAAATCAGTCTTCAAAGTTAATGATTTCAGCCATTTCTCAGGCAAATCATTAAAAATTTTGTTTGAAAATTAAAAATGGGAAAATTACCGGAAGCATGATGTATAGCTATATAAAGCATAGTTTAATAAAATAGATTTAAAAACATGTTGGCATTCTAGGATGTTTTGGTCATTATCTCTGAAACATGATTTGCAACGAGTGACTGGTTTGGCTTGTCTTTGCCACATTTATAAAACAAATATATCTTCAGCTTTAAAACACTTTAAAACATTTGAATAGTTTAAGCCCGGGGGAGGCGGTTTGGTGCAGCGATTTCCATTCAGGTTGTGAACCTCATTGTCGAGGGTTCGAACCACACGCCGACCATTCTCGGCCGGCTATGCTTAGCTACCCCAGCTTGCACTGTTGACGGGCTGTGAAGTGGCTTTCGCTATGTTTCAGCCCTAGGTGCAAGTATTTCATGGCTTATAAATTAAATAAGAAATAAATATTGTGGCCACCTTTCATCAACATTGATGGTAACATCAGGCTTGACATAAAAAAAAAGCCCTTTAGATGTATAAGAAATAAGAATTTGACATAAAAAAAAAGCCCTTTAGATATGTATAAGAATTTCACATTACAATTCTGATACATTGATTTCAAAGCTTTGTTACGATTATCTTATAATCAATATTGTTGTCTGGGCAACTAGGATTACTTTCAGTATTTGTCAAGTATAGTTATGTTTGCTTTTCTATTTATACCACATAAATATAAATATCACAAACCAAACAAGAAATTTAGTAATTTATAATGCTAGCTTACTGAAGTCAACAATATAATCAGTTTGAGTCAATATGAGATTAAGTTTAAGTAATATATATAGTAAGCCTAATCAATATAATAATAAATATATTAATAATTAAGTACTAAATACTGCACATGTACAGTAGTCACTGAGCACTTAACCCACTAATAAGATACGGACAGAAAACCAAACAGGATCTACAAAATATTAACCGTTGAAGTAGAACCACGCAACCCACTTAAGCACTGAACCCCAAACACTCCACTGCACCATTTATCAGTATTTTAAGGTATAAAAGAAATCTATCTCAAAGCTCGAAACGCGTCTCTCATGATGGCAGAGTAATCAAATTAACAAATTGCAAGCCCTCATAATAAACATATAAATCTTGTGCCAGCCAAACATTACTGGTCAGCATAGGCTTAGCCAGCGAGCCGTCCGGCTGTCTTTTGGACGGCCTACAATTATTTAGGACGGCCACTTTTACCGTGATGGCTTGGCCAAATCAGCTCGGCCAGACTAATTGGGCCTGGTCTACTTTCAGCAAATTCTTTATATTCTTCAAATCTATCGAATGTTACATTCTTATTAATAGGTCCATGATTAAACTAAAGCTAAATCATATTTATGTTTGATAAAAATAACATTTATTTATTGAATGTACATTGTTTTCGTACCAATATTCGGTGGGGATTCCCAAAGATGGGCGTGGCACTGAGCCAATTTGGATGGCCTATTTTGTTTTTCTGGCTAAACCCCTGCTGGTTGGTGGTCTTAAATTGCGGGCAAACTATTTGATATTTGGCTTTTATGCTACCGGACATCCTCTAATTAAAGACCCCTCCAATGAAATACCCCCTCCAATTAAAGACCACTTTTCTGTGGCCCGAAATTAACAAATGTCATTTATTCTTATTACACTAATTAGAGACAAAAGCAGCTAAGGATCAAGAAAAACCATTTATTTATATAATTTCAGCAAATTTCTTTTACTACCATTTTTTCCCTTTTAAGCACATAAGGATTTGGTTTATATTTGAAGTGCCACTAAATAACATTACATTAAATGTAGATTTTAAAAATACGTATTCATAAAAGCAACAGACAAAAACAGTCTTAAGGTATACCATTTAATGGTAGAGAGGCTCCCAACAATAGAAAGTGTAATACATGTTTTGGAAATGAAAGGTACTAAAAGCATTCAACCATGAACAAACCAAGGATGGTACTGTATTAGAGGCAAGATCATACACTGAAGATTTCACAATAATATTGAATGCAGGCCTGATTCCACTTTGATGAACAGGTATATAAAATATAAGGTTTTCAAAAAACATATTGTTACATGCAAAATTTTTAACATATTAATGGGGTATTTTGTCAAAGTTTATTTGTACTAGGATGTTATGAGACTATCCAAATATTAGGGGATATGCGATACTTCAATGTAAATATAGTTGCCAGTAAAAGTTTAATAAAATTAATAGTAAAATATACAGGTTTCAAAAGAATTTAAACTTACAATGCGCAACAATGTGATGTTTTCCCGTAATGTTCCTAAACAGCCGATGAAGCCAAGTACAAACATGAATGATCCGACGAAAATCATGAAGATGGTGGGGGTTACCATAACATCAACGACTGCTATATAATCTTTCTTTTCAACCTCTGCATAGATTCCAATACCCAAAATAACTCCACCAATTAACTATTAAAAAAAAAAAAAACCATTTGAATATAATTATTAATTATTCATTGGTTTTGCAGTTGTTAACATCAAAATTAATATGTACAAAAATAAGTACAGTAGAACCCCTCCTTTGGGACACCCTATTAAAGACACCATACTAGGGCCAACAATTATTCAGAGGACACACCCCATTAAGGGGATGTTTTTTTTTTGGTTTTGAAGGTGTCCCTTAATAGGGACTGTATATGCCCAAATTTATACTCCTTCTCAAGGGTATTTTATGTGACCAGATTTGCACATTTAGACTGGTTGCTCAGAGCCTTACACCTTACACAGACATCCACATAAATATAGGATTAGAAGGTTACTCTCGTAAAACGTGATATGCAGTTAACACTCTGTAATAGTTTATTTTCTACCTCACCAATTTCTATATCACCAAACTTTCTATATTCAATGCATGCAAAATCTGTCTCTCATGTCTACAAAAACTCTCAAACAATTATGAATAAATCAATTAATAAAATTGAATTATTGAATTGAGTTGAATAATTTAATTAATTTAATAATTAAATAATTGAATTGCTCGTATTGCAGGATCACATGGTACATCAATGTTCAATAGTTTTAGTAATAGGAATTGGGGGTTTTCCTTTTGATGTTATATAATTACCAGAAATTAATGTTATACTTTTAATTAATTATTAATCAGGCGATGTTATACTCACCCAGAAGCCCACATCATATATAAATAGAATAATCCTTAAGATACGATGGCCACAGGTTGGTTTTGGAAGACCTTTTAGGGAGGGCATGGTGGTTACTGCAGTGCTAGTACTAGGATCACGTCAGCCAATGGCCACTTTACATGAACTGGAAGTGGTAAAAGTACTCTTTCGATCTGTAATCAGTTATGTCTCCTGAGCTCTGCAGTATGAGAAAATAAACACAGGTAGAGTAAGCATCAAACACTGTAGGCTCAACACTTTGGCTGCCAGCGACGTGTATACTCATCCCACAGGGTGTTGTTGAGGGCGCTAGGGACGACTATACTTATCAAAACCGGGGTAACATTTTACCGTTTTTTACCTATTGTTATACATTGTAGAACAACAGACTCAACAACTGATGACAGTTCGGGGAAGATACACCTAGACAATAACATATAATTAATGTATGTACTGTATGTTTGCCGTGTTATGTTGGCGGCTGTACAAAAGGTTGCATAAGTGGGGGTGCCCTCGTAACATATACCAACCCATGCAAAAAGTGGATGAGGAAACTCAACACTTGGCAGAGGCAATGTCAACATCATTCCAGGGTTGTGATTTCATTGCACTACTCTTTAAATTACTGCCTTAATTTTATTTCTCACATCCAATTAGATAACACATAGATTAGAAAATCAACTCCGGTCACAGGGCCTGTTTCTGCTAAGCAAAAAAACATGTGTTTTTAAACGGTTATTAAAAAACATGTGTTTTTTCACCAGTAGAAACGGGCCAAAAAACAAAAACACGGTTAGGAATGCGTTCTAAAAATGTGTGTTTTTACAAGCATTCGTTATAGGGTTCGCGTTGAGAATACCGTGTTAGTCATTACCTGTCGGTGACCCAAATTGACCTCTTCGTTTGTTTGATCACATGCCCGCGGGAAATTCTGGGCGAATAAAAAAATTAAACCAATAGGATGACATGCTTGAAGATCATACCATACTCTTTTCATACTTTCGTGGTGTGTTGTTTACTTTTTTTGCAGCATGCGCTGTAGCTCAAAAGAAGTAATGTCAGCTTCAACTTCCTTTGGTCACCGTCATTTAAGATCCAAGCCTAGCCCACCATAGGCCCTACTGACATTCATAAATTGGAATGTAAGCACTAGACCGTTACAGTACACCTCAAATCAAAGTAACATTCCCTTTATATGGAGCAAGCCTACAGAGCAAGCCTACAGAGCCTAAACACAGACCGGGTTCAAAGAATAGGCCGAGGCTTGCTATGATCCCCCTGAGACTGAGAGTCTCTTCTAGGCCTCTAGGCCCTAGACTGCTGCTGTCTGTCAATGAAGTTGGCATACACCATCACTAAAACGTTTATCTTGATTAATTTTGAAATATTCTTACCGTTGTATTCTGCTTACATATTAAATATTAATATACATTGAAGTAGTACCTCTAATATTATTTCACAAGGTGCTTCGGGGTGCCGTTCTTAGCCTTAGGGCATGCACTGAAAGTCAGCAAACTTGTTTACATAGGGCGCGGTAACTATATCAGTCTGCTCTGCTGTCGTCGCTGCGCTCTTTGCGGTAATAACATGACCTTGATTAGTTACGTCATAATATTCAAGCACTCCTATTAATATTCATGAGTTCAAGTTCAATTTATTTAGTAATACTAAAAAACATAAATTTCGTTTTGCTAGTACTTGTACAAGAAACAAAAGTACACAGCATAAAATACAAATATATGTCTGATTAAAATAGATATAACTCTATTATCTTAATGTTACGATTCCGATTCGTTAGGCCTTATATGTATATAAGGAGATCCTGGTGCACGCCGACATTCTGATGTACTAATCTGAATCGGACGAGACAGGAAATGATAACTGACCTATAAACAATAGCTAACTGGGGTGTCGAAAACGGCACTTGATATTTTTTAATATTCAAATTTTTAATTGAAATAAAAATTAGAATGAAAAATATATAGGGCCTAACGTATGTTCTTCACTAATTAACAGATGCATAATGAATCATAAAACATTCCTATTCCTACTGTTCCCAAACTTCACTTGAACAATAAAATTCCATTTGAATTGCTTTGTGAAATTCTGTTTTTAATTGAAAATTAGAAACGATATTATAGTGTGTTTTTTTTTTGTGGTTTTTTTTTTTTTCTTTTTTTTTTTCTTTTTTTCTTTTTTTGCTAAAAGACAAACTGCCCTCTTGAGAAGCCCTAGAAACACTCGGCTGATTGATTAATAGTTGATTGATTAATAGATCTTTACTCTACTGCCTCTATTATACTGCCCCCATCGGGAGCTTTCGAAAACTTTTTAAAATAACGTATCATCATCCTTGTAGCAGTTATTCTACTCTGGAAGCCTTTGGAATACTTTGCAGATGATGTACCTTTAATTCTTGTTCATGTTCTGTTTATTGCTCTAAGACCTCCTAGCAATAGACTTGCAGAAACAAAAGTCAGTATTACAGTACTGTATACAACAAAACCGCATTTAATTCTCTTTTCATGTATTGATATATTGCTCCAAGGTTGAAGGTGTTGCTGGCTTGTACAAACATTTCCTGAGTTGCAGAAAGACGGTGTTGGATAACAACAAAGTATAAAAGCCATTTTTTTCTTCCGTATCTAAAATAGCATTTTTTTTATTGAGTAAATTCTTACCTGTCTTAAAATGCAAAATTGTCCGATAGGAAATGGGATGATGAACGTAACCAACGCACTCCCTAGATACGGGCTTGTTCTATCATATTATTAAATATGAGATTTTCACTTTGGTTACTTTCTATGAATGACCGCAAACTGATTGTCCTTGACTTTATGGTAGAAAATGGATCATTGGGGATCTGAGGGGGTCAGAGGTCCTAGGAAAAAAAATAATTAAAAAAACAAATAATAAATAAAATTAAGAAAAATAAAATTTCTACACCTACCTTTTTCAAGACCCGTGAGCTGATTTTTTTTTTCTTTTCTTTTTAGAAGTTGAAATTAGAAGTCGGGAAAGCTCATTTCCTGCCATCTGGAATCAAAATTTTCCCCCGATCCCCTTTTCTTATTTGGGGTTCATCGATTCATAGAAAAAAAGATGCACCTATTCAATTACGGTAGGCCTATACACACAATAATAGGCATATTTACTGTAATAAGAATGAGAAAACAATTACCTGACCGTTTTCAAGAGGAGTAAACCTTGAAATCTGAAGAACATTAAAACGTCATTAAAAGACACTTCAGAATTCGGGAAAGCTCATTTCCCGCCAGCTACCGTAGGAATCAAATCTTCTCCCAAGTAGAACCCCGCCTCCCCCCCCCCCTTGCTCTTCGGGGTCTATCGATTCATTGAATCGTTTTCAAGAGGGGGAAAACTTAAACTTTTAATGACTTGAAAGTCATTAAAAGACACCTCAGAAGTCGGGTTAGCTCATTTCCGGCCATCTATGGAATCAAATTTGTCCCCACCCCACGTTCTATATGGGGCTCATCGATTCATAGAAAAAAGAATAGGCTTACGTATATGCAAATACTCATTTTTTATGTATATATATTTTTATAATATATACACACATAGGCCTATTTACTATAATAAAAATGAGAAAGTTTACCTGCCCGTTTTCGAGAGTGGGAAAACCTTGAATTTTGAAGAACTCAAAAGTCATTAAGGGGTTATCCATTATTTTCATCATTTTCACGAGAGTACAATACATACTCTTTTTGCTAACCCCTCTCTTCCCACCCCCCGTGAAAGAGTTCATGTTAAAATGATGATTTTCTTTATATATATA